GATGAGATTTGGGATGAGATTGGGAGGTGCAACGAGCATGTGCATGCGCAAGCAAATCGTTCATTCACACACACACACACACATACACACACACACACACACACACACACACACACACACACACACACACACGTGCACATTTTCTTGTGTCAGAAGACCTAGAGGACCCTTCTCGCGTGTGTGGACGACACACCCCTCCTCTCTGTGCTGCAGAACAACAAAGACGACAAACATGCGCACGCGCGCAGGAGAAGAAGAAGACGCGTGGGTGCGCGTGCACCTATCTGTATATGTGTGTGTGTGTGAGGCGTATGTGTGTCTGTCTAAGCGTGCGTATGCGTGTGTGTGTTCGCTTGTGTATGTTTGTGTGCGACACCGTGCGTGTGTGTGTGTGTGTGTGTGTGTGTGTGTGTGTGCGTGTGCGTGCGTGTGTGCGCGCGGGAATGTGGAAGGAGGAATGTGGACGGGGCTTCAAGGAGAATTAAAGATGAGCAGTAGCGTCAGTGCACGACCATCGTGAAACATTGACACCAGCGGACGGGCGTGTGAGACAGGGCACAACCGCCCCCCCCCCACCACTCATCATACGCCCAGACCTTATCTGCCTCCTCCACATCGTAGAAGATGTCCATGATGCGAAGACAGGATTGCGGCAGACACTTGCGTCGCAGCGCCGCCATCGCCGCCTGTCGGGCCCCGCTCGACTCCTCGCTGGCGTCTGCGCTGCCTTCCTCCTGTGTGTATGTGTGTGTGTGGGGGGGGGGGTGTTTGTGTGTGAATGAGTGATGTGTGTTTGTGAATGAGTGATGTGTGTGTGTGTGTTTATTTTCTGTGTGTGTGTCTGTGTGTGTGTGTGTGTGTGTGCGGTACGATGTGGGGGAACGTAGACAGCCAGCGCGTTGTTCTCACAGGGCACAACTTACGTCCAGCATCCATGCATCCATGCGAATGACATTCATCAGCTTCGACACCGCCGTCTGTTCGTGCGGAAGCGGAAGTGACGGAGCAGGTGAGCGGTGCAACGTGAGGGAACAAATAGAACACATTCCAACATCATAAACAAACAGAGAGCACCCGATGCCACAAACATCACACTGCCACACACACACACACACACACACACACACACACATACACGTGCGATTGTACGTACCTGTGTGTATTTGTGTCTCCTGTGTTCCCAGATGTCCTGCTTGTTCTTGAAGACGCGCTGCTCTTGTTCGCTCTGCAAAACGCGCAGCGAAGTGCCCGTTGACATCTGCGTTGGGGGGGGGGGGAGGAGGGCGTTGACGTGCGTGAGTGCAAATGGGGTTATGAGCGGGGGTGCCGAGGCAGACACAGAGCAGGCACACGGCGCAAAACGTCGCATACAAGGCATGCAACACACACGCACGCACGCAAAACCAATGCAACGTTGAGAACGACAAAGAAAAGACGACATTCAAGCGTGGTACCTGTCCCGGGGTGGCTGGTGGTGTTGGGCGCATCTCGTACGTGTGATGGCGCCACACCTCAAACGCATCGTCGGCATCCACATACGCCCTAACATGTGTGTGTGTGTGCATGTGTTTGTGTGTGTTTGTGTGTTTGTGTGTGCATGTGTTTGTGTGTTTGTGTGTGTGTGTGTGTGCGTGTGTGTGCAAGCGTGGTGGACGGGTGTGAGCAAGGACAAATGATGACGAGGTGGAGATGAGAGGGACTGCTGCACTCGTTGGCATGTGTGGCAGGTGGGGTGCATACACCGTGCACACCACTGACCGGAGAGAAACGTGTTCGTTGATGGCGCTGCGCAGAACAACGTCGCTCGCAAGCGCGGCGTCGGAAAACTGGCGGTGGAGAGGGGCGAGTGGAGAGAGATGCGGCAAGGCGGCATGTGAGGGGCGCGTGATGGCGGTGGCGGGTGTGGTGTGTGGTGGCTTGCTTGAACGATGTACATGTTGCAGGATGCAAAGGCACACCACAAGAAACACACACGCACATACTCATACTCACGAACAGTTTCGCACAGGCACGAACCACAAAACAGAAGCAATTGCAGCCCACGCCCACTGCGTTGCGTAATACTCACGGCTGCGAGATTTGAAGGGATGACGTGTTTGTACAGGAGTTCGCGTGCAGCCGCCAGCTTGTCTTTGACTGTTGCAGTCAAAATTAAATACAGGTGTTGAGGGCGGTGAGCGTGTTGATGCGGCGAGGTTGGGGGGGGGGGGCCGAGGGTGATTGGCGAACATACGCTATCGTAACATCCATACATACACACACGTTTACAAACTCACACTAAATCTCATCCACGCAAACGTACGCACGCACATGTACACACGCGCGCACACACGCACACGCACACACACACACACACACGCACACGCACACGCACACACACATAAACACACACGCACACGCACACAGAGAGCATGGTGTGGGACGTACGGAGGAAGCCGCGGAGAACGGCGTTTGTCTCCTGAAGGGCGTGGAGTTTCTGCTGTGGATCCTGCAGCAGCCACTCCAACGCATTGATCACAGCCATGTCGGCAGCGCTGCACGCACACGAAAGGAAGGAAGAGAGCAGGGTTGAGGGGACATCGAGCCGCGATGTGCTGATTGGCGCATGAATGGGAGGGTGTGGCAAGGCTGCTGGGGCCACGAAATGAGCAAACCAGCAAGCAGGTGTGTGTGTGTGTGCGTGCGTGTGTGTGTATGTGTGTGTATACCTGACAGTGCCAGCGCTCGGCGACTCCTCCTCCGCTTGCTTGTCGTGCTCCCGCACACGTCCAACCACAGCCTGTACAATGGGGTGACAAGGGTGGTGTGTAAGTTGGTGTTGCAGGTCCGTGAACGCGTCATGACACGAGATCTGCGACACAAGACTACAGTCAGAGGTCTCACCATACCCTTGGTTCAACACCACCACCACCATTACAGTCACGACGGCACCACCACCATTACAGTCACGACCCCGCCATCGTACCCGCGTGATTTCGGCCATGGGCAGCCCGGCCTTGCGCGCTTCCTCCAGGCAGTGCGATTTCAACCGCCCGTCCGTGATGCCCTGGTGTCGGAGGAAGTCGGTACATGTGTGTGTGTGTTCGTGTGTGTGTACGTGTGTGTGTGTGTGTAAGTATGCGTGGATGTGCTCGTGTGCTTTCTCTCTCCACGCCTATATACCCATAACCTCATCTCCCCCCTCTCCACTCTGCGCGCCGTACCGCGAGGTAGAACGAGTAGATGGCAATTTGGCGCTCCTCGTCCGAAATCTGGGATGTGTACACGGCGACACACGAGTGCATGTGCTGCGGCAGTCGAAAGCGATGTGCGTGTGTGAACCACACGGCAGACAAGATCGTGAGCTGGTGTTGGCAACTGACAGCTGCTGGCCAGCGGCAACAACAACACAAATCACTAAGCAAGCAAGCGTGCCAGCATAGCTACCATTCTTCCTGCAGCAACCCATGACATGAGCTCATTTGCGCATACGAACCTTGTCAATGAGGTCAAACACGTACGCCTCGATGATGTCATCAATCTCTGTCTCGTGTGCAGACGCGTCTGCGTCCTCACCCAGCCCCGTCCGCCCAAGCTCCCTGAAAGTGTGTGGTGTTGCGTGCGTGCGTGCGTGCGTGCGTGCGTGTGTTTGTGTGTTGTGTGTGTGTGCGTGCGTGCGTGTGTTTGTGTGTTGTGTGTGTGTGCGTGCGTGCGTGTGTTTGTGTGTTGTGTGTGTGTGTGTGTGTGTGTGTGTGTGTGTGTGTGTGTGTGTGCGCGCACGCGTGTGTGTGTGTGTGTGTGTGTGCGAGTCAATGTACAGACGTGGGCGAGTGTCCAAACCAATCAGCAGGGCATTCGTGGGCGGCACGTTCAACTGTTTACGCACCTGAGCACGAGGGCGAGGTGTGCAAAGTGGCACAGGTACGGTGCAACCTTGGCCGCCTCCTCCGACTGCTCGCAATGGGCGGTAAGATGGAGACAAATGCACACGCATACACAGACATACACACACACACATGAAAACACAACAGTTAACGTTTTGAGGGGAGTGAGTCAAGGCAAGCCGAGGCAAGGAGAGCATAACAAGGCAAGAAGGAAGAAGAGATGAGCACAGGAACACACCGGGAGAGGGAACGAAAACAGACAGGTTACCTTGTTGAGGCGCGGTTTTGTCTCGTCGAGGGGTGCAATGTAGTGCTGCGTCTCCTCGGCTGCTCGGCACTCCCGCAGGAACGTGTCAATCTGGCCATTGATGGCCGTCAGACACGACTGCACAGGAGGAGGACGAGGAGGAAAGAGGGTGGTGGAGGTGCGTCAGATATGACCGTTTGGGGGGCATCGCAACACACATTGGCTTCGCATAACGCACAGATACACACACACACACACACAATCACACAATCACACACACACGCGCACACATACGAACGCAAAGCTGTCAACGAGCGAAGCAAGCACGCTCCCCTGCCCTTCCTCCTCAACACATCCGTTGCATCTCTCATCTCCCAGCGGCACCGTACCCATGGCCGCCCGAGGATGATTGCCTTCTGCACGCTCGCGTGGATGGTGCGTGCGCCGTTGCGAATCTGGTCGTTGCTGTGGTCCTCAAGCGTCTCAACAATCGCCTCCACATCCTGATAAGAGTCGTGTTGAGAAGTAAGCGTGAGATGTGTGCGCGTGTGCGCGCGCGCGTGTGTGTGTGTGTATGTGTGTGTGTATGTGTGTGTGTGTGTGTGCGTGCGTGCGTGCGTGCGTGTGCGTGTGTGTGTGTGTGTGCGTGCGTGCGTGTGTGTGTGTGTGTGTGCGTGCGTGCGTGCGTGCGTGTGTGTGTGTGCGTGCGTGTGTGTGTGTGTGTGTGTGTGTGTGTGTGTGCGTGTGTTGCGGGATGACGTAATGCTGAGGCGATAGTCACCACATGGCACCACTCTTCATCGTGCCACAAACACCTCCATGCCCAGCTCACCTCTGGCCCCAACTGCGGCCCCGTGTCGTTGGCACCACCGCCGCCGGCTGCCAGCTCCTCGGCAGCGCTTCGCTCGCGTTCAAGCACGCGTGTGCGCAGCAGCGCCCACAGCGCGTCCTGCCAGCTGGCAGACAGCTCAAGCAGAGGCGTCGCCTTGCCCATCAGGCTCGCATACACCCCGCGCTCGTGCTTGTCCGTCGAGCGGTTCTCAATCAGCGACAAACACGCACGCTGATGTGTGTGTGTGTTTGTGCGTGCATGCGTGCGTGTGTGTGTGTGTTTGTGCGTGCGTGTAAGTGTGTGTGTGTGTGAATGAGTGTGAGTGAGTGTTGTGCGTAAGGAAAGGGGGAGGGGGTCAAAGTAAGTACACGCCACATGCTCGGCCAAGCCAGTCAAGATGCACACTCATGTGAACAACATACACACACACACACGCACACGCGTGTACCTCGAGGAGGTTGCCCCGCTGCACGTCCTGCTTCGTCTGCAGTGCACCCGCCGTCTTTGCCGCGGCCGTCGGCTGAAACGCTGCAGCAAGGGAGAGACGGAAAGGAGGGGACAGTTGGTATCATGTGGAATGGATGTGCACACATGTGAGCGTCTGTGAGCGTGTGTGCGTGTGTGCATGAGGGTGTGTGCTTGTGTGCACACAAGACAACATTGGCAAGCACCGCGTACCCATGAGTGTTGCTGCGCGCCACGGCTGGTTGCAGGATTGGCACAGCTTGATGGCCTGCAAAACAAGCGAGGAAACAATGACGCATTGGTGCACACGCACACGTCCACGTGTGAGAACCGTGAGGATAACGGCAGCAACAGCAGCGGCGGCATGTTGCCTCCAACGCCAGCCATCAATCATCACAACCACGACCACCACGACTGCTGTGTGCGCACCATGTCGAGCCTGCCGCATCGGATGAGGGTGAAGATGCGCTTGAGGAAGACGGCCTCCTCGCTCGCGTCCGTCGCGTCCAATCGCCCGCCCGTCCGCGACACAGCGTCAGGATCAAGCGCCTGGTGGTGGTGGTGGTGGTGGTGGTGTTGCGCGCGCGCGCGTGTGTGTGTGTGTGTGTGTGTGTGTGTGTGTGTGTGTGTGTGTGTGTGTGTGTGTGTGTGTAAGCAACGATTCGCCGCTTTCGGTCTTCAATTTCATCGCATTCCTTTCCTCTTAGCTGCTACGAACGCACACATCCTCCTGCACCACCATGACCACGACCACCACTACCACCACCAACGACAGCAACAACAGCAGCACCTTGACGAGGTCTGGCGTGTTGGCGTCAGCGGCGAGGATGGCGGCGAGGGTGTGGCGCCAGGCCACGTCGTCTGTCTCATACAGCACTTCGCCAATGTAGTCCTCAAAGTCCTCCGCAGCCACCTGCTCCAGCCACGACACGACCGCCCGGTACACCGTCTGCGTGTGCGTGTGTGCATGGTTGAAGTGATGATCGTGAGGGGCTGTGGCGATTGTGAAGGGTTGTTTTGCTTGAAAGCGCGCTGGCTGCGTTCACCCAAGTTTCATCGTCAACTCCCTGCACACCACCATGCATGCGCCATCACATCTGCGCTGTTGTCTCACCAGGTCAAAGTCCTTGAGGGGAAAGTAGCGCTCAACCTTCTCCTTCTCGGACTTGGCGAGGGCGGCGGTCGGCGTGGACTGAGGACAACGGGGCGTGTGGGGTGGTCGGGTGGTGGTGGTGGCGGATGAGGATGAGGAGGAGGGATGCGTTGGGCGTTATGAGACGAATGCAGTTGAATGGGAACAAGGCGTGCACAACAGTCACACGGTGCGTGTAGACTTGCACACTGAGTGTACCCGATACAAAACACACACACACACACGCACACACATACATACACACACCGGCGATGGACGAGAATCCTTGGATGCGTGGAGTTGCATCACGTCGTTGAGGAGGAGCCAGGTGGCGCGCGATTCCTTCTGCCGCTTGATTGAGTTGATCAACTCCTCAAACCTGACGCAACACCATGCACACACCGGCACAAGAAAGCCCCCCCCCCACAAGTACGCAGGCCATACACAACACACGTCAGCAACACGTCAGGCATAAAGGTGAAGCGAGGGAGGGCCGTGTGCAGAGCAACAGCGCGTATCCAACCACCACGCAGCACAACTGTCTCACTTTGGTTTTCCAGCAAGTGTCATGTCGTCTGACAGCTCCGCCAGCGACTGTTTGAAAATCTGTGCATGTGTGAGTATGCATGTGCATGTGTGAGTATGTGTGTGCATGTGAGCTGCAGGAATCACCGAAGGCGTGGGTTGCACGAGAAACAAAAGTCTATCATAACACGTGTTCGCGCACTTGCAACACGCACACACTCACTCACTCACTCACACACACACACAAACGCACACGCACGCGCACGCAGCGGAAACGCACGTCTGCAAAGTGAACGCAGAGGGAAGGGATGGAGCCTGGGCGTTGCAATCCTTGCTGGTAGCGCTGCTGCTGCTGCTGAAATTGGCGCTGGTGTTGCTGCTGGTGCTGGTGGTGACGAGATGCAAGGATGGGGAGGGGCCCGAGGCCGTTGCTGCCGGCCTGGCTCGACAGAAACCCGTGCATAAACTGCTCCTCAACGCTCTCGTGCCTGCAGGCAGCAGAGGGAAGGAAGAGAAGGAGGAGGGCGGTTGAATTCATGTGTGTGAGTGTGTGAATGAGTGAGTGTGTGCGGCGACAAGCACACGGGCAAGTAGAGAGCCTGATCGAAAGTCTGACATACAAGCAGACAAGCAGACAGACACACACATGCACACACACGTGCGCACACACACACACACCGCGATCACAATCAATTGCCCGTTTGGCGTGAGCACTACCTGCCAGCGATGGTTGGCTCATCGAGCGTCGTCAGATCGCCGTAACGCGACACAGTCAGGCGCGACCGGTCTGCAATTGCAGGATGGGGAGGCAGAGGTGGGGAGAGAGCACGTTAGCGATGCTTGTTCAGAGGCAGAAGTGTGGCACTCATATACCACACACATACACCTACACATACACATACACACACAAAATACACATCACACGCAAAATGCACAAACCACACATACACGCACGCCTCACCGTCCATTGCGCCGATGGCCGATGTCTTGGGGCGCTTTGTCTCAAATGGCGAGTCCACGTGGATGGCTGGTAGAGGGGGGATGGAAGGGAAGAGTGCAGGTCAACACGCGCAACCCAAGTCAGCTTGCCACAGGACACACACTACACCCCCACCGTGCTCCTCATGACCACCACCACCACTGGCAGCAGCAGCACGCAACGATGCAGTCGTTGTACGCACTCGCATCAAGGTCCGTGCCGTCGGTGATCAGGGACAGTTGCGACACGGCGTGCTGAACACGATCCTCCAACCTGCCACGAAGTGTGTGTGTGTGTGTGTGTGTGTGTGTGTGTGTGTGTGTGTGTGTGTGTGTGTGTGTGTGTGTGTGTGTGTGTGTGTGTGTGTGTGTGTGTGTGTGAGACAGACAGACAGAGAGACAGACAGAGACAGACAGAGACAGAGAGAGACAGAGGACAGAGACGAGCACACACAAACACACACACGCATGCAAACACGCACACACGCACGCAAACACACACATGAGCACGACAGGGAAGGGAAGCATGCAGGGTTCGCGCAAAGCTGGGTCCACAGCAAAAGAAATGGTCCATTGAACACAGTGCTCACCTGCTTCGCTCGTGCGGGCGTGGGGTCGCCTGAGATGCTGCTGTGGACGGCCTGGCATACCACTGCCGCGGCGACGCAAACGTCGTATCAGCTTGGATGGCACTGATGTCAGACAGCGTGCGGTCTGGGAAAAAGAAGGTGTGAGAAGGGAGGAGGCGGTGAAAATGACATGGTGGGGGAGGGCAAAAGGAGGGGAAAGCAAGCGGTAAAACGCAACAGAGAAAGGGAAATCGGTGCATGCATATGCAACGCAGGCACACGTGCAGCAGTTGTACCTCCAGCCGTGCTCGAGCGCATAAAGCTGAAGAGGGTGGGCAAAATGGGGAAAGGGGCAAGGCAAGCGTGATAACGTCAGTGCACACAGATGCAACGACAAGATAGATAAATGAACGCACACACACATAACAGAGACAAAAGACACAACCATAGGCAGAGCCAGAGATGCAAACACACAGCCACACACATACAGCCGCGCGCGCGCACACACACACAAGCACACACACACGCACACGCAAGCACACGCATGCACAGCACATACGCAGGCGTCGATGCAACGTGGGCACTGGCCGTCGACGCGTTGATGCTTGTCTGTGTGTCGTCGCCAGCAAAGTGCTCCGTGCGATACCGCTGTGAGGCGTGGAAGGTGGTTGTCGGGACCGAGCAATCAGACAGAGGGGAGAAATGTGAGGAAAGGCGACTTCCAAGGGCAACCCAATCACGGTGGAGCGGCACCACAACAAGCAACACAACAGCCTCACAGCACTGATCCACCCTACCGGCCGTTGAGCCACTGGCGACGGCATGCTGGGCAGTTGGCTGCAAAGCAAGCGCGCAAACGGGGCACAGAGAGTGAGAGACGAACGACGTAGCGTGAGCGGCGAATGCATGAGTGGACAAAGTGAGTCAAGCAAGGATGATGATAATGACAGGCACGCATGAAACTGTGGACGTGAACATGACAGAAGGCACTGGCGGAGGCAGACGCGACACGAAGCAACCCGACAATCACGTACAAGGAGAACTCAGAGTCATCCGCCATGATGGCGCTCGCTGGCTGGTCGTGTGTGTGTGTGTGTGTGTGTTCGATATCCGCAGCCGTTTTTCCTTTCCCTTTTCGCCTCGTGAAAGTGTGAGTTTTGTGCTGTCGTGAACCGTCTTCTTGTTGCCGCGCTCAGTTTGATGTGAGTTGACATGATGTGAGGAGTTGCACCAGGACCATTGCGTCCCCCCCGGGGCTTCCCTCCGTCCTTCGTGCATGCACTTATGGAGTACGCTTCACTCTCCACGCAACCGTTTACGCTTTCACACACACACACACACACCATGACGGAAGCAATCGGCAACAACCAAGCAAAGCAAAAGCAACACAGCAGAGGCCGAAAGGCAGCAACGCGAGAGCAAGAACTCTTTCAGAGTTCTCAGTGTATCAAGGCATCAACTAGGCGGGCAGATGAACAGACACTCCACTTCAAGACTTCAACTTGGTATCACAAATCGTAGGACACCAGACAAAAGAGAAAGAACACAAGCCCGTTCAACGACAGCAAAGAGTCGTGAGGAAAGGTGGGGGTTTGCAAACCAAACAACAGCAAACAGCCGGTCAAACAGCTCCAGTGCAAACATAACAGAGGCCAGACGAAGAGCAGCAACGTCGATGACCACAGGACCACACCCCCACACCCGCACGTCACAGTGAGACAGTGGGTGGCTGACACGTTCTGGAGTCAGCGGGCCACGCGGAATGTACGCGATGACGATACTTGTGGCGTGGAAAGAATGGCAACAATGTCGTCATGCTCTTCCTCGCGCGCGAAGTCAAGAGCAGTGTGGCCAGTCTCCTTGGATCATGGCGCACGACACAGCGGTTGGCACGGCGTGGGTGGGATGGCAAACATGAACACACAGAAATGACTCCAGCAGCGCACACAGCAAGCAACCTCAATGAAAAGCCATGGCACACGATGTACTGGCATACCGGATGCTTGGCGGCTGCATTGGCGCCTGATTGAAGCAGCAGGCGAACAACCTCGGCGTGACCTTCAGAGCTGGCAATATGCAGCGGCGTCTTACCCTATGGGGGCGGGCAGCACGTACACACAAACCAATTTGAGTGAGTGTTCGCGAGCATGGTTTCAATTTCTGAAACAACGACCGACGGGGCCAGAAGCGAAGAGGGGGAAGGGCAGGCAGAACTGGCAGAAGCAGGGGCGTACATCATTCTTCGCCTTGTCGACGTCAGCGCCCTTCTGAATGAGCACCTGCGCAACGTCAGCGTGATTGTTCAAACTCGCGACGGACAGCGGTGTTTGTCCCTTGCATGAGCAACAACAAACCCATGACACAAAGCAGTCACGAGCGCAGGCGGGAGGGGGGCAACCGTGCCAGCAAAGCAAAGCAAAGCAAATGACGTTGTGAGTACACACAGGGAGGCTCCAATCAATGCGTACGCACAAAATGCCCACGAACGGCCCGTTGTGCAAATACACCCAAAAGCAAACAGTCCCACCAGCGGTTGTCCACACGCAGGAGTGGGAAAACCCAACACTCTACGACCTTACGTCATTGTCCGTTAGGTTGACGTCGGCGCCCTTCTGAATGAGAAACTGCACAACCCCCACGTAGCCATCGATACATGCAGTATGCAGCGGCGTTGCATTCTAATTCCGACACGCGGGCACATCATCATGAGCATCCTCCAGCGGCGCAGTGCATCCATACACAAGTTGACACACCGAATAATGTGCAAGCAGCAACGATACAACAAAGCAGTATCTCAACAAGAGCTCATCGTACGTCCTCTGTTGCCTGCTTCACATCGGCGCCATTTTCGACGAGAAATCGCACAATTCCTTCGTGGCCTGTCTGGCATGCAATGAACAGCGGTGTTGCACCCTGGTGTCCCCAACAACAAATCAGACATCAGGGCAATCCAAACAATAAGCACGGCTCCCCGTGAGTTCCAAACCGCTGTCAAACAAGCACATTCCCCCGCCTCAGAACTCATTGGTAAACCGGTAAACCTGTGACCTCAATCAGCGTGATGGTGATTCACTTAAATTGTAGTGGGCACATACATACACACCATGTTCGCAGCCTGGTGGATGTTGGCTCCTTTCTCGACCAGAAACCTCACGATGGCCTCGTGGCCGCTGATGCAGGCGCTCCAAAGCGGCGACACGCCCTGGCACCAACAAGCAAGCCAGCCACACCCAAACCAAGCGTAGGGCACGCCATGATTAGAAACAAACGCTCACCAGCTGTTCACTCACGTAAGGCACGCAGTGCAGTAAATGCTTGGTGCAAGCACCCGGATCTGAGCCCATGCACACATGCGCACACATGCTGCGATGCCATGAATACGCATTAACACACGTCATTCGTTGCCCTGTTGACATCAGCCCCATGCTCCACGAGAAGCTGCACAATCGTCTCCTGACCCGCGTGGCTCGCAAGGAGCAGTGGTGTTGTGTTCTGATGCAAAAAAAATAAATATTGAGGCACAAGCCAGTCCATGAGCATGTTCGACGTCCAGGCCCGTACGTGTCGAGTAAACAAACGCATACCGACCACTGTAGCTAAGACCTCGAATCCACGAGCACACATACATACACACGCACACACATGCACACACATGCACACACATGCACACACATGCACGCACACATACGACCAAGCGGGCAGAGAGGGTATGCAGGCGCCATGCTGCATCAGCGAAACTGAGCAGTGGATGCACAAGCCTGCAACACAAGCTGGTACCAACGCACATGGTCGGTTGTTGGGTTGATGGCAGCTCCCTGCTCGATCAGAAACTGTGCAACTTCATCGTGACAACGATGAACCGCAGCAAGCAGCGGTGTCGCGCCCTGATGCCACGACGTTGTCGTAAACAAACATCACTGCGTGAGCGCGCGAGGAATAAAACAAAATACAAACGTGCAAAACGAGCAAATACACACACATACACATACACAAGACAAACGAGCATACATCATTCCTGGCCTCGTTGATGTTGGCTCCTTCTGCAACGAGAAAACGCACAATCTCCCCGTGGCCACTCTGACTTGCACCGAAGAGGGGTGTTGCACCCTAATTCACACAAATCATCAATCACAACATGACATTAAATTCACCGTTACGACCACTTTACGTATGCATCGTGGTCAGCACGCACACAGGCATTTGCCTGCACAACGACATGCATGCCCATACAGCATTTACGCGTATGTTGAGTGACAGTCAACGTACAATGGTCATCGCCTGGTTCACGCCAGCGCCCTTCTCCACAAGGAATCGCGCAATACCCTCGTGGCCATGTTGGCATGCAACAAGTAGTGGCGTTGCTCCCTGACATACAAAGCACGACGTCCAATCCAGCAGCATACAGTGAATACAATGACGTTGAACAAAATCTCCACCCAAGACAAACTTCAATGTACACGTCTTCAGTAGGTTGGAAGTGGCGACACGCCCTGCACCGGCAAGCAAGCCAGCCACACCCAAACCAAGCATAGGGCACGCCATGATGAGAAACAAAAGCTCACCAGCTGTTCACTCACGAAAGGCACGCAGGTGCAGTAAATGCTTGGTGCAAGCACCCGGATCTGAGCCCATGCACACATGCGCACACATGCTGCGATGCCATGAATACGCATTAACACACGTCATTCGTTGCCCTGTTGACATCAGCCCCATGCTCCACGAGAAGCTGCACAATCGTCTCCTGACCCGCGTGGCTCGCAAGGAGCAGTGGTGTTGTGTTCTGATGCACAAATATTGAGGCACAAGCCAGCCCATGAGCATGTTCGACGTCAAGGCCCGTACGTGTTGAGTAAACAAACGCATACCGACCACTGCACTTAAGACCTCGAATCCACGAGCACACATACATACACACTCACACACATGCACGCACATGCACGCACACATACGACCAAGCGGGCAGAGAGGGTATGCAGGCGCCATGCTGCATCAGCGAAACTGAGCAGTGGATGCACAAGCCTGCAACACAAGCTGGTACCAACGCACATGGTCGGTTGTTGGGTTGATGGCAGCTCCCTGCTCGATCAGAAACTGTGCAACTTCATCGTGACAACGATGAACCGCAGCAAGCAGCGGTGTCGCGCCCTGATGCCACGACGTTGTCGTAAACAAACATCACTGCGTGAGCGCGCGAGGAATAAAACAAAATACAAACGTGCAAAACGAGCAAATACACACACATACACATACACAAGACAAACGAGCATACATCATTCCTGGCCTCGTTGATGTTGGCTCCTTCTGCAACGAGAAAACGCACAATCTCCCCGTGGCCACTCTGACTTGCACCGAAGAGGGGTGTTGCACCCTAATTCACACAAATCATCAATCACAACATGACATTAAATTCACCGTTACGACCACTTTACGTATGCATCGTGGTCAGCACGCACACAGGCATTTGCCTGCACAACGACATGCATGCCCATACAGCATTTACGCGTATGTTGAGTGACAGTCAACGTACAATGGTCATCGCCTGGTTCACGCCAGCGCCCTTCTCCACAAGGAATCGCGCAATACCCTCGTGGCCATGTTGGCATGCAACAAGTAGTGGCGTTGCTCCCTGACATACAAAGCACGACGTCCAATCCAGCAGCATACAGTGAATACAATGACGTTGAACAAAATCTCCACCCAAGACAAACTTCACCTGAACAAGAATGTGCATGGGTTCACAAGCACATGCATGCACACCACGTTGCCATGGCACAGCGCCGACGCACAAGCCGCACAACATGCACAAACGCACTTCGTCGTCGGCCTCGTGGACCAGAGCTCCCTTTTCTATGAGGAACCGAACAACGTCTTCGTGGCCATTCTTGCTCGCAATAAGCAGGGGCGTTGACCCCTATCACCAGCACATTCCAAACCCAAACCACCAGAAGGAGGAGTCACAGACAACCGCCCAAACGCACGAACAAGGCGCATGCACACGGGTGCAGGAATATGTTAGCGGTATGTGCAACATTGTCACACTTCACTCTCCCAACAGACGCTGCAGCTTCAAACCAACGCACGTCGTTTGTCGCCTTGTTGATGTCAGCACCCTTGTGGACCAGAAAGCGCGCAATTCCCTCGTGGCCTTGGAGGCATGCAATGAACAGCGGTGTAGCGCCCTGCCACGAACATACACACACATGCACACACACGCAAAGTTGGGTTCCAAGGCAACAACCACAGCAAAGTAAAACAAAACGGGTGGGGTGGAAGCCATAACATCAGACATCGTGAGTATGAGGGTGCCGTGGTCGACTGATGCATTCACACACGAACACAACGAGCAAACAAACGAACACAGAACACGACAACTCAGCCAAGCAGCCACGCCACAAAACACGTTCCAACAAGAAGAGCAACAACGACAAAAGCCACCACAACAACAGCAACAGCGACAAAATTTCCCGCCGCGGGATTAAGACTTACGTAGGAGCGTATAGTGGGGTTATGGACGAAATATTACTCGGCACTATGTCAAGGATTACATATTCATGATGCCTCCACCGTCTGGTCGCCATGTAGTTAGCGTAGTTGGTGATTATGACCGCGTTAGAGCGATAAAATTCAGATCTCACAGTCGAGCACCGGTGTCATGCAAAAGAGACCGAGTAAAACTCTGGGTGGGGAACTCCTAGATGTCGTGAGGAGAGTTCTGCAAGAACGGATACTTTCATATCCGCCTATTCTTTACCATCTTACCGTCAGGATTGACAGTTCGGCACAATACCCGACAGTGGCTCGCCAACATCACTCTTGGGATCCCGTCGATCTCAATATAGGGCTTCACGCGCGGTTGGAACCTCTATGACAGGTTCGGGAGACTTCGCATCACGCATCCGGAGAAATGACGGAAAGAGTTCGGAGATCGATCTGCGTCTCCCCCTCGACACAACCACGCAAAACGTGGTCTTGTTGACTAATGTTGGCGATGGAGTTAGATTTTTCGTATCATAAGTCCTGTTGAGATATATTCATAGCTACAAAGAATCTTGCCACCGCTGGTACGAGTTTACTTGGATGCGCTTCTCAGTCACTTGCGGCTAGAGTTGAACGTTCCAGGGCCAGGATTTCGGCTATGGAGACAGGTGGACCGTGGCTCGCAATGAAGAGTGGGTGTTCCACCCTGATACAAACAAAAAGCCCGCCCCAAAGGACAGTGGCATAAATGATATGTCCATTACGCCACCGCGTAATGAGCGAATTCGGTACCCTTCAAATACATGTAGAGCCATCCCCGACAACACACAAGCAAGGGCGGACGAACAAACAAACAAACAAACAAACAAACAAACAAACAAACAAACAAACAAACAAACAAACAAACAAACAAACAACCCCAAACTTAAAACGCACACGCCTCCACATGCTACACTCTCACACCTCTTCTCCTGAGCGGTGGATGTCGGCTCCCTCTTCAACGAGAAATCGAGTGATCGCCTCGTGACCCTCTTCGCTTGCGACACGCAGCGGTGTTGCACCCTAGAAGAAGAGCCAACCATCACAAAGTAGCAACAGTGAGAGCAGAAGCGCGGTCAAAGCCAATGGGTGCACACGAACGGGAGTTCACGAGGGCAGGGTGCACGCACTAAACAAAACATGAACCATTTGTTGTTTGTTGCGGATACACCCAGCAGCAAACAGTCACACTGTGTGCCATGGTTGGACCCTTGCAAGAGTGGGGAAAACCAATCCCCACGACCATACATCAGTGTCCGCTTGGTTGACGTCAGCGCCCTTCTGAATGAGAAACTGCACAATCTCCTCGTGGCCACTTTGGGCAGCAATGTACAGTGGCGTGGCACCCTGATGCCCAAGCCCCACACACGCACAAAACAGACAGCATGAGAATCTAACCTAGCTATTCACCTTATCGACACATCTAAGGCAAGATTGAGTACACACGCCAGTCACGCTCAAGTAAGCAAGTACGTGCGAAACACGCAGCGCGCCAGGCAGCAACTCACGGCGTCAGTGGCCTGCATGATACCAGCTCCTTGTTCAACGAGGAATCGTAAGATCGATTCGTGCCCTTGTTGGCTGGCAATGAACACCGGTGTTCCGCCCTGGGATTACAAACCCCATCACAAACACAATGGCGAAAGGGGCGTTGTGATTGAACCCAGCGTGAGGTTTTGGTACACTCTTGACAATTTTGGTGTGCATGCTGCACCAGCCGCCAGCACGCATGCGACAAGTAGCACAAACTCAACCAACACCGAATCCCAGGAATATTTGCGTACTTGACACAGACTCACACACACGCACACACACATCATCAGTAAAACACACACACCAGCACATATCGTCAGGAGCACACACACACACACACACACTGTCGTCATTCACTCACATCGTTGTCTGCATGATGGATGTCGGCTCCTTTCTCGACCAACAGCCGCACAATTGTCTCGCGGCCATTGAAGCAGGCAGTCAGCAGCGGCGATGCCCCCTAGGTTGCAGATGCAACGCAAGCACACAAGTCCTTTGTAAGTTCAGGCGCCAACACGCATGCTCGTGCGCGCACCCACGAACACACAAACTCACGTTGTCCATGGGCTTGTTGACATCAGCCCCTTTCTCAATCAGGAAACGTGCAATCTCCTCGTGGTCTTCGAGACATGCCATGGCCAGTGGCGTTGCATCCTGACCAAGAGCACACCATTCAATCCAGCATTGACTTTAAAACCGTCTACATCAACCCCGAGGTTCACAACTCAGAGCACCAGCGCACACACATACACACACGCACACACACACACACACACACACACACACACACACACACACACACACACACACACACACACACACACACACACACACACACACACACACGTGAGTATGCAGGTGCCGCAACAGCAAGTCCAACACTACATCGGCATGCGTACCGAAAAGGTTGCGTGGTTGATGTCGGCACCCTTCTCAGCGAGAAATTTCACAACAGCCTCGTGACCACGTTGGCTGGCGATGAATAGCGGCGTTGCACCCTTGATACAGCAGAAAAGCCCATAGAGCACATGGCAACCTCACAATTAACCACCGACAAGCAGAAACGCACACACGCACACAATAACCAGCTGCTACACAACACACGCTACCATACATCGTCGATCGCATGCTTGATGTCGGCTCCCTTGTCAGCAAGAAGCTGCACAATCCCAAGATGGCCGTTCTGGCTGGCAACGAAAATGGGTGTTGCTTCCTGAAATCCAAATGTATACCGAGCAGCCAGATAGCAGACAGCATGAGCATAGCAGAACATAACCCAGTGAACACGCGCTAGGGTTCATGCATAGCAGCCGTAGTGCCCACCACATTGCGCACACACACATACGCACACACACACACATATATACACGCAGGGACGTCGGCACACGATGCGCCAGTCCCACATTTAACCAGGCAACGTCGCATTTCCAACAGCACACGAGTAGACGAGTGTCCGACAAACAGACATCAGTGGTCGCCTTGTTGATGTCTGCTCCCTTTTCAATCAAGAACCGCACAATCCCCTCATGGCCGTTTTGGATTGCAATGTGAAGCGGTGATGCACCCTGCCACACACAGGAAGAGCACCAGTCATCAGCCACAAAGGGCGCAGCGCCAACGTCGCATGCAGCGGGATGTTGTGCAGCAGCTTCGTTGCAAGCAGGCAAGCATTCACAACAGTTGCACAACAGACAGAGCATGGACAGGCACCACCCTGACGCAGCACTGGCACAGCACAATATGTACAACACACATCTTCGGTTGCCTTGTTGACATCAGCTCCCTTGCCAGCAAGGAACCTCACAATCTCCTCGTGGCCGTTCTGGCTCGCAACGAACATGGGTGTTGTGCCCTGATACACAACGGTACAGAATGAAATGAAGGAGATTGCAAAATCATGACGGTGAGCATGAACTTCGAAACCAACCACACTGAAGGTACACGGTGCGCAATGCATGCAACACATCAGTGCACACACACACGCACGCACACACACACACACACATTGTTCGTGGCCCTGTTGACGCCTGCTCCCTTCTCGACGAGAAAGCGCGCCACTGCCTCGTGGCCCCCGTGACATGCGACGAGCAGTGGAGTCGTGCCCTGAAGCCAAGCACGCAAACGACAATAGTCAAAGTTTCAGAATGACACTGGCTTGCGAGCTCGCTCTAGCCTCACCAACATTCAGCAACGAAACTGTGCAGTTGTACAAAAGTGTGTGCGGTCATGGACATCGCACGCGTCCCCTCCCCTTCTGTACACGTTCGCAGAAATGCTGGTGTCATGACGCAACATTGTTCAAGCATCAACAGCTAAACATCTCAAATAGCGACGAAAACGACAACCACACAGACGATGGTAACGCACGTCATTGTCTGGCTGGCTGACGTCAGATCCCTTCTCAGCAAGGAACCGCACAATCTCCTCATGTCCTCCTCGACACGCCGCGAACAGCGGGGTCTCACCCTGCATCACGCCAACCGTGAGACGGTTGCATTGCACGCATCAATAGTGTTCTAGAGTCAGAAACCTTCTTGGGAGGTGCAAATGTGTTACGTGACGTGGTCAAACCTATCAAAGAATGCACGACCACCCCACAGGCGAAAACACAACTTTTGACACCTTGCGAGTGCACAGCATAGCAGCATGAAGCAATTCGTGTGACTGACGCACATCACCCTCTATTTGGCTGATGTCAGCTCCAGCCTCGACAAGCATTCGCACGATTGCAACATGTCCTTGGTTGCTCGCGACATACAGCGGCGCCATGAGGCTCTGAAGAGGTGGGAGAGGCAGAGCAGAAGCGTGCATAGATGAGGCTTGGGGTGGCTGCATGATGGAGGAATGGCACACTTGATTCATGTGCAGTATGTGGTGTTGGTGGTCATCGCACAGACATATGGCGAGGTGCATTTAAGAGCCATGGGCTTTGCTCACCAGAGGTGAGGCCTTGTTGGGGTCAGCGTTCACGTCAACGAGCAGCCGAGCGATTTGTGGGTGCCCCTTCGCACAGGCCCAAAGCAGGGGCGTTCGACCCTGCATGCATGCAAAGCGAACCAGCACAGGCACGAAAGGCAATTGCAAGAGGTCAAGCACAAAAGCCACCCGTTTCACCCTCACACACAGATGCACCTCAACACACCAGGTGTTAGAAACCTAGCAGGCCAATCCTTTCAACACAGGGGGGGGGGGGGACAGGGGGCAAGGAGCAAAGGAGCAATCCGTTTGTTCACACGATCATGTGGATAACTGACCTGGTCATCTGGTTCGTTGGGATCTGGTTTTAGCCCTCCGTTGTTTGGATCACCGTCCAACAGCAACTGCTGCACGCGGGCAAGGTTTCCTTCTTGGCATGCGTCAATGAGACTTGTCATTGTCGGGGTCTCGGAGTTGCGCTGCACTACACGCCTGCACGCGGACACCAGAAGAAACCAAGTCAAGAAGTCACTAAGGGTGCTGTGCTCTTGGCTAGCGGTACTCTGGTACTGCCTGCGGTAGAGGCCCGTTCCTTGCTTTGTCCGGGGGAGGGTTGCGTGTGGTGAGTCCTCGTTTGTTGTTCGGTGCTAGTGTTGGTGGTGGAAGGGTGGAGGGGAATGAATGTTGTTTGTTGTTGTTGGTGTGGTGCGGATGGGAAGCCAGCGCCCACGATGTGTTAGTGTTGTTTGCTTGTTTGTGTTTGTTTTTCCGCCTCCTGCCATGTCATTCACGGGGAACCGCTCTGCTGCTTTGCGGTGATCTCCCCAGGAAAATTTCCCAGCAAATCCCGCCCAGTTTGGGAAGTGCGGCTAAACCTTCGCCATGCAAGAAAACCATCAAAGAAACCTGTCAATAAGTACATTTTTGCCAGACATGGCACGTGCCGCCAACATCCCAAAAGCACGCGCTCGGTGTGTGTGTGTGTGTGTGTGTGTGTGTGTGTGTGTGTGTGTGTGTGTGCGTGTGTGTGTGTGTGTGTGTGTGTGTGTGTGTGTGGCAGTCCTCACACTCTTCACGCAGCAACCGTTTACGCTCTCTCACACACACACACACACACCATGACGGAAGCAATCGGCAACAACCAAGCAAAGCAAAAGCAACTCAACAACAATCGATCAAGCAAGCAACAACGCAAGCAGGCAGAGCGGGAACAGGGGGGCAAACAACAAGAGTCAATCATCAAACAAGCATGCGAGCAAAAGAGAACACGCAAAAAGGAAGCAACGCGCAAACAGGCAGCGGCAGGGAACCAAGCAAGTTCAAGGTCATTCAACAACCAATGCTAATCAACAAAGACGGCAGCCAAGCCAGCAACAGGGCTGGCGCCAATCAACACGTGTATGAAATGGGTGGGTATGGGTGTGTATGGGTGTGGAGTGAAGGGTTGGGGTTGGGGGAGGAATAGGATGGGGGTTGTGGTGGTTGCTGGCTGGCGCTCAGAAGCGCACCACCAGCTTCACGGGCTGCCAATTGGAAAGCAAGGGCGTGGACAAAAGAGGTGATTGGGAAGTTGAGTGAGTGAGTGAGTGAGATTGTGTGAGTGAGATTGTGCGCATGCGTGTGTGCGTGTGCGTGCGTGCGTGCGTGCGTGTGTGTGTGTGTGTGTGTGTGTGTGTGTGTGTGTGTGTGTGTGTGTGTGTGTGTGTGTGTGATTGTGTGCGCATGCGTGTGTGTGAGCGAGTGTGTGTGTGTATGGGGGGGGGGGTCGGCAAGAAGAGGGAAGAAAGGGCAGAGTCTAGTAGTAGGAGCGCAACGTAAAGTAGGGGAAGAAGACACCAGCAAAATTTGTGTATGTCTGCGAGTGTGCAACACAGCAGAAGACACGCCCAGAAACGGAGCCAAGAGCCAACACAGCACGCCATGCTGCCCCACCTTGTGATCGCCCATGCAGATGTCGCGGCCAATGATGTCGTATGCGTGCTCGTCCACGGGCTCCATCAGCTCCAGCGCCGCCTCCGTCATCAGTACGCGATCACACCACGCAGGGCACCTGTGTGTGTGTGTGTGTGTGTGTGTGTGTGTGTGTGTGTGTGTGTGTGTGTGTAAGCAATCAGGTTTCAGCCACCACCGCTGCACTCCACGTCACACCACAACTTCACACCACAACTCCACACCACGTTACTGCAACCGCGCCAGCGCACCGCTTGGTGAGGAACTCGTTGTGGACGTCGGGGTCCTCGGAGTATGGGTAGGTCGGTTCAAAGTTGACGGCAAGCTCCCGCAGCGTCGGGTGCGGTGAGTCGCCCTCAAGGTCAAACTGCCTGAAGTGCACCCTGCATCGTGGTATGAGTGGTGGCGATGAGCGTTGACTGAAGACAAGCGGGGCGTGTGTGTGTGTGTGTGTGTGTGTGTGTGTGTGTGTGTGTGTGTGTGTGTGTGTGTGTGCTCTTGTGTGCGGGCTTTTGTGTGCGGGCTTTTGTGTGTGTGTGTGTGTGTGCATGTGTGTGTGTGTGCGTGTGTGTGTGTGTGTGTGTGTGTGTGTGTGTGTGTGTGTGTCAACCGACAGCGCACACGCGTGTTCCAGAGCATGTGTTTATGCGCCAGACATGGGGACGTGCTAGAAAACAAAAGTGTGAAGACTGCCTGCCATATACCCACGGTTCTTCTAGAAGACTATGAGTTGGTTAAACAAAAAACTACGTGTCTTTACAGCACTGTTGATGCGAATGTAGTGATGTGAGGTGCCAGCATGGGTTAGTGATACCATACAGACGGAGAAAATGTCTCGTAGACTCGCGCACGCAAGAAGGACACAAAGACAAAAGTTCACAATCACCTGCCATTCTCGTCTATAGTGACGAGGAGGTGAGTATGGAGATAGCGGACACCATTGAAACATAAAGGACTGCACTAAGGAGCGGCCC